GATTAACAGTTGCTTGTTGGAAGTCAGCACATCGCCATGTCTACTCTGCTTTCATTGTGTCGATTCCGTATGCTGAAGTTTTATTATGAACCCTCTCCATGTCTGCATGTTCCTCCAAATTTGTCAGACCGATGAAGTGCGCAAAATGTGTCACAGCAGGCTATAATTTTCATTTTCACAGCAAAACAAATGGGAGTTCACGCAAACAAAGAAAGGGGTCGATTGTTTCTGTTCAGAAACAAAATTATGCGTTTCGACCCATATACTACCGCCGATGGTTACAAAAATTTTACGTCATTTTACGTCAAATTTATGCAACAGCTAACGAAAGCATGCTTCGTTGTGTTCATTCATGTCCTTTAAAGGACTGGAACAAAAAAAAAAGAAATAGATACTCACCTACGGATATCCGATATAACATATTTCTTTAAAAATTTCGTTACACTTAGGCGCACGAGCTCCCCTGTTGGCACAGTGTTTTTTAGTCAATTATTACACAACCACGGGGGCTGCATATTCAAGCGACAGATTTCATTTTCAGATCTCCTCAGCTTTCGTAATTGGCTCTGCGCAGCCATTCACCTTGACAGTTAATGGAAATAAAATAATGAAAACTGAAGTAATCGAGGATAAAAATATAATAAAATGAAAATTGAATTGTTATATTACCCGGGAGTGATGAAGAAACACAGTGTGCCATTGACTACATGTTACGAAACGAGGCTTCTTGTCCAGCGCTACGGCGGGCGCTGAAATCTTTTTCAAATTCAGTTTTAATTAGAAACTATGCACTGAATCATCTGACAAACTTCTTCAATAGGCCTAAAAATTAGGAGCGAAATTCGCAGAGCCACCTTTGTTATTTTTTTTGCAAGTGCTCTTTGCCATCCGCTGTCACTAATATTTCAAGCATGATAATTTTCTTTCTTACGGACAATGCTTGTGTACTATATGAACAAAAATGGGCAGATCCCTCGTACCTTGGGAATTGATGTTATGCGAAGCATGCACATGCAGGCTGACTGTGCTGTAATTTTGGTTTACCCCAAGTTATGAGAGCACCGAAACGTAAGCGGATAGATAGATAGATAGATAGATAGATAGATAGATAGATAGATAGATAGATAGATAGATAGATAGATAGATAGATAGATAGATAGATAGATAGATAGATAGATAGATAGATAGATAGATAGATAGATAGATAGATAGATAGATAGATAGATAGATAGATAGATAGATAGATAGATAGATAGATAGATAGATAGATAGATAGATAGATAGATAGATAGATAGATAGATAGATAGATAGATAGATAGATTCGGCAACAACTTTCTGTGGCAGCGCAGCCAAAGCAACGTGTGCGGAGCTTCTGCACATGTGTTAATACGCCAAGCAATCCGTTTTTTTTTTTTTATGCGATTTCGGTTTTCTTTTCGCTGGGTGCACGTTAAAGAACCCCAGGTGGTCTAAATTTCCGGAGCCCTCCACTACGGCGCCTCTCATAATCATATGGTGGTTTTGGGACGTTAAACCCCACATATCAAGGTTTTCTTTTCGCAAGGGTGTCCAACATGTACTTTTTTGCACGACCACCATGCAATCAATATTACATTTATTTAGGAGGAAATAGATAAGATGTTCATTTTTGAAGGAAAAAAAATCAGGAAGCTTCTTTGAGCATTGCGATTTATTTCAGAAAAAAGAAAGGTACGGCCGAGCAGGTACTAGGCGATTGGAACAACGCAAAGCCAAGAAATCATTTCCTAAATTGCAGCGCATACATGGTCGGCATCATTGTTTTTCTTCTTTTAGAGACGCAAGAACATGCCTGAGACGCTTACGTTATTTTTTTCAGGGACGCGAAGGCAGTGACGAGAAGCAGAAATCTTGACACCAACCAGTCATGGGTGGGGGTCTGACGTCCGTAAATTGAAGTTGGTGGAACGCAATCTTTACTCGGCCAAGAACGCTGTTTATTTTTTTCACAGTCCTCTACCCAGGCAAAGCGCAAGGAACGACTACCTCCGAAGACGCCGACGGGAGGAGTGGTGTTATGGTACGCAATCTTCAGCGTTATCGTATCCACAATATTAGCTAGCTGAAACACCGACCACGTATGCAACGTAATTTAGAAAAAGGTTCATTGCTTTTACGTACAGTTTCCAATCGCACTCTTTCTTTCAAGCAGCTGGTGTTGCTGAGGGCTGGAAGGCCTCCGGTGTCACTTTCAAGGCGGCTATAGCGATTAGAGTCCCACTTCCGCTGATGATACCACTTGCACACAAATACTCACTGATTGCATGCGCGGGAGACAAAATAATTCATGACGCACCACTGTCTTCGTTTCTACCTGTTGGATGAATACACATCACCTAACGAACACGTACTCATACTCGCTTATAAGCTTCGATGTGAACTTGCTGGAACCGAGCGATGCCATAGTTGTTCACCGGAAGGAGAAAAAGGTGAAATGGCACCAGAAAACCAGAAAACTAGAAACAGCAAAGAACGAAGAACCTACATGGGTGATGCCTCTTAATAATAATGCGAACAATCTTGAACATAATATTTACATCTTTTCTTTTTATATTTTCCGTTATGCTACGCAGCATACCAAAGTAGGCGTTCGTGGACTATAGATGCAGAAGCGTAGTAAGAAAGGGCGTGCTTGGGCTTCGTAGCTTGGATGTGCTGCCACAGAAAGCTTTCGCCGAGTACAGACAGACAGACAGACAGACAGACAGACAGACAGACAGACAGACAGACAGACAGACAGGCAGGCAGGCAGGCAGGCAGGCAGGCAGGCAGGCAGGCAGGCAGGCAGACAGACAGACAGACAGACAGACAGACAGACAGACAGACAGACAGACGAACAGGCGGACGGACGGACAGACGGACGGACGAACAGGCGGACGGACGGACAGACGGACGGACGGACGGACGAACGGACGGAAAGACAGGCAGGCAGGCAGGCAGGCAGGCAGGCAGGCAGGCAGGCAGGCAGGCAGGCAGGAAGATGCTAAGCGTGCCTACAGTACGCAAAAAAAAAAGCTTCGCCTTTAATAAGAAGAAAGATGTCCTCAGCTCAGCTGTGGATAGGTTCGGCATGTCTGGGCCCAGAGATGCAATATCGTGGACGTCAACATTTCGCTGCTGGGCAAAGTAGGGTTTGAAAACCATGCGACCCTGAACAATCGCTCTGCCTGGCCCAGCTTCTTTATCCCTTATCTTCATAAGGGGTCACATCGTGAACCTGACCACCAATACCTTTGTTATCATTGGCTATATTGTGCATTGTGATGCAGAAAAGAAAAACATAGCGAGAAATGTTTTTAACGGACGCTTTCTTCGCCTACTTATAACATTGATTATCCTCGAATGAACAAGTGCACTGAAGCTACGGTGCCTACAGGATACAAAGTGCCTTCATTTGCATAACCTCTTTCATTGAACAAGAGCGCCAACTTCAAATACAGCTCTACAAGACACATTACTGGCGGCAGGAGGTCTGACGGTCCAATCACCCGTCACCGATACGTGAATTTCGTGGGGCTCACCAAATTACGTGCAGGCCGAGCAGGAAGGTCAGCTGGTTCACATACCGAAAAGTTGATCGCTAATTGTGCTGCAGACAATGTGCCATTCACTAGCCTTCGTTGATCCAGTAACTTGGTAATCCGCGTAATTCTACGCGTATACTCTTGCGGTTCCCTCCTGTTACCAAAAGGTGCAATCATGTTCCAGACAACGGAAGTTGTTCCGTAAGGCACGCGATGCCTCGAACTCGTACATGCACCTGTAATGGCGTCCTTCGTGACGACGCGAGGTCATATGATACCCAGCTTTCCGCCAAAGCTGTCATTTTGTGCGGTGGTTTCGACAGGTACATACTACTCGAGACCCATTCTCCGGGTGCCCGGCGCAGTTGTGCTCGTTTGCTGCTGCATCTTCTACCAACGCCTTGTAATGAGTTCGTGATTTTTTCGCACAGCATCCTACTGCTTGTGTAAAGTAGCACTGTCTTCTTACCAAATTTCTCACAAAACGTTTACGTACAGGAAACGGCGCATCTATTCAAAGGCATACTTAACGCAATACATCATAGCTAGTCGGCAACCTAGTGATCAACTTTTAACGTGAGGGCGTTAAAGAGCTCGTTTCGCAAAAATTCTGGCCTCGGTCCCGGCAGCGGTGGTTTTGAGCGAGAAATCATCTTATGCGTGACCGAAAAATTGAGAACGATGCAAATAGAAATAAATAATTCCTAAAAAGAAGTCCTGGGTCACTATGAAGAGCAAACCATGGTCGTTTGGGTCTGGGAGGGAATTGAACCTGGGTCGTTTGCATGGCAAGTACATGCATGCGAATACAATGAAAAGAATATCTTCTGCTTGTAAACGAAGCGAAAGTAGTTTTCATGCTTTACGTGTCCTGCATACATGCTTCACAATGCAACATGAAATATTGCGGTAAAAATGCGTGGTACAAGTGGCCATTGCCAGAGGGTGTCTGAACACGTGATTATCATAATGGTTCCATGGCTTAAAGCTGGTCACCCTGTACAGAAGGCACACATGATACTGCACCTAATCTCTTGCCATGCACCCACTACGTGGACCTAAGTCCACGTAGTGGGTGCATGGCAAGTTCCAAGAGGTTTCGTGCACCAAGTGTTTGAAGTATGCACTTCAAACACTTGGTGCACAAAGAAAGAACAAGATATCACTATCGCGTAGAACTCCTAAAGGCGAAGCTTTAGGGTCCCATATTTAAAAAAAAATCCTATGTTGAGCTAGAATTTCACAAAACATATCGATAATATCAGAAATTGCACTGCTGGCTGCTCTTTTCGTGTCGTTTCTCCCATAAATGACTTAATTATATAATTAAAATGCTATACTGCAAAGAGGGAACGACCTTAATGTGAAGGTCGGCTTCTCAGATGTGATGTTTCGCGACACACCGGCACCCCGCCGGGATATAACACTCTCAATAGAGGTTCGCTTCGTAAACGCACGTTTATTCAGCATCATACGAAAAGGGATCTCCTTTAGTGACAAGCCAAAGTCTTGCGTTGTATGTTATCTGCGTTGCCATGACGCTTAAGGGCACTCGTACGTTTTCAGTATTTTTTTTTACTAAAATCAAAAATTTATTTCTCAACTTGCAACAAGTGTAAATAATCAAACGACACTTTAACAGAAAACACAGTGCCAAACGCCTTTTGCATGTTGTTCCACTTATAGAGACCTTTCCGACTCGTACCGATCTCTAAAACAACACAAACACAACACACACTCACAGCTGCGGCTATGCAGCTCACGCATTCCGAGGCTATATCAACAACAAGAAGCGCACGTATCTGGAAAGCTCGACAGTTTTGGTTCACTGAAGGTACTTTCACCGAACACAAGCACGCGCACATGAAATGACAGTTGCTGGAGCTTATCAGCATTGGCAACTTGCTCTTTAAGACTTGTAAATTTATGGCACAGAGATCTTTCTGCTTAATTGTAGCGCTTTGGGTCTTCCAAATATTCACTTATTTTGTCTTCTCTTGAAAAATGTTATGTAGCAAATCTACATCATGCACCAATGCTCTTTTGTGAACGAACTTGGATAAATCTGACTTGACAACCAAGCTCAAAACGTGCATCAATGGTTCAAGTGTACGATTGCACAAAGCTCTTGGACTTAATGTATGGATATATTTCCAAATTTTGTTTTGCAAGCAAATGAAGTCTTTTCGCGGCAAAATTGCAGCATTCACTTCAATCCAATCACTCTTTTGCACAGGTGTACGGGAATAGTGAGCTTTGGGCGTTTGCCAAGACAAGTGCCACTCTCGCATTCATGACACATTGAAGTACAAGTGAGCGAGATTTACAACAGTCGCACATGAACAGTACATACTTTTACACATCCTGATACCTGAAATAGTCGTAGCGTAGCGTATCGGCATGGCTGATACCTTGCATAATATATAATAGAAGTGCTCATCCTCTTTATGCATTTTTCGTCTTCACAACTGCAAAGCGGGCATGCGATTTTTTTATCAGGTCTTGTCTGCAAAGGCCCTCTCTTGTATTTGCGGTGTCAACAAGATCAGGCGACTAGCTTTTCTGTTGTTATCCGCGTCTCCTTTTCAAATATGAATGTCAGATAACACGCATGTAGTGATCTTAACATTTACACTGTCAATATAAAAAAAGACGGTGTTCTTAAGCTATCGCGGTAGTAGACGTTCTAGCAGTGAGGTTTATGCTCGCCTGAACCCATCACACTTCTTTCTTCTTACTAAAACCACAGCCTACAGCAGCTTGCATGCAGATTTTGTATCTATTTACCTTTGCTCTGTTATGAGATAATTCACTCGTACCTACGTTAAGTAGTAGTGAATGTTATTAAACCTTTATGCGGTATACTCATGTTTATGCCATAATCAGCTACGTAAGAGTCCTCATGTCAATGAATCAGTCGTGTCTATGTATACACAAGCACGTCGTTGCTTTCTTGTGAAGTGTGCTGAATGGAAGGCATGGTTGACTTTATATTACCAGAGAAAAATAACGATATTCGTTGGGTCAAATATTCATTTCTTCATATTTCTAGATATCTGGAGGCAAAATTACACGTGAACCTATCACATGTAAGTCTCACCATTTCAAAAAAAAACTCGTATATCCCTTTCGGTGTCCATTCCCAGATTGAATTGTTCTGACAGGGTATCGGCTTTCTACGTGCAAAACTGCACCTATAGCTACCGTTAGCTTTACTCAAAGTTATAGAAAATAAATGTAAAATGGGACATGCCGAACAAAGGGCAGTCCTATAATTCAGCTATAAAATACGAGGTCATGTGTAGTGTCGTCAGTTTTCTTATCAAAATCTGATAATCATAAAATGCTTGCAGTACTGTTTCTCTGCGGAGTGGCATCAGACATTTTTTTCTGGTGTAACGGGACCTAGGCTCGTAAAAGGATGCCGTACAACGCTTTGAGACAATTCCAACAGAGCGATGTGTCCTGTTTTCTTTACATATGCAGGCTACTGCACTGGCATATTAACAGACTGTCACTGTTTCTGAGACTCTCGGCTGAGCACTCATGGCGTGGCCTTGCGAAGGGTAGCTACGAAGTGTCTTCATTCGACGAGCACCATGTCACTGGAGCGCAGGCTAGACGTGTAGTTGCGTGTGCGCGCACGGGCCGCCTCGCGTTTGCGCCGGTCTTCCCTGGCCAGATAGAGGCCCACGGAGCCGATTCCGAGAAAGAAGAGTAAGCCTCCGGCGAGCAGTAGCACGATGCCAGCGATCCACAATGCCTCGGGCTCCTGTGGCGACGAGCCCAGCACAACCAGGATGATGCCTGCGCTGAACAGCAGTCCCCCTAGGCAGCAGGACAGCACGCCCAGGTTGAAGTATCGCTTGGGCGTCCGCGGCTCCTCCTGGTAGTAGGCGTACGTCGAGCTGGACATGGCGACCACCGGACTAGTGCCTCCTGCGAGCGAGGGTGCAGAGAGAAGCGTGTTGCTTCGGGCGATATACGAAACTCATCGCGCCCACGGCAGCATTTTTGTACGTTCGTGCGGCGTCGCCTCGCCACAGTTTGGTGCATATATCTTGTAATCTTCACCGTGGAAATGCAGCTTTTTTTCTGGACAGATATATAGCTAATAATTTGTCCCTGTAACGCTGTTTATTCAATGCAAGTCCATACTGCCACCTTTCACCAATCGTTTTTCCAAGCACAGCCCGAGCCTGGAATGACCTGCCTAACGAAGTCGCCACCATCACCGACACCCAAGCTACCCAAGCATCCAAGCGGCTCACTGAAACCATTCCATCCTTACTACCCTCATATTAATAGTCTTTATATTCCCCACTCCCTCGTGTAGTATCCCAACTGGGACCTTTGAGGTAATAAAATGAATGAATGAACAGAAAACGTATACGGCAAAAGCCATTTCTGTGCTCGACCATCTTATTGCACATCATTTGGTTATTTATCGCATAATATAATATATATATATATATATATATATATATATATATATATATATATATATACATATATTGATTGATATGTGGAGTTTAACGTCCCAAAACCACCATATGATTACCATATGATTATGAGAGATGGCGTAGTGAAGGGCTCCAGAAATTTCGACCACCTGGGGTTCTTTAACGTGCACCCAAATCTGAGCACACGGGCCTACAACACACACACACACACACAGACACACACACATACACACATATATATATATATATATATATATATATAATATATATATATATATATATATATATATATATATATATATATATATATATATATATATATATATATATATATATATATATATATATATATATATATATATATACATTGAGCGTTATGACCACGACACACCAAAGAAAAGGGGGTCTACTAGAAGCTCTATCGACTCATCCGGTCAACAGAGCCACACATACGCGCGCGCATCTGCGTAGCCGCTTGTGATGAGAAGCACGCCCACGACCTCTCCTTGTTTGCGCCGGCGGCGAAAGAGGCATCGCTCCGTGGGCGGGGTGGAGCAACATCGCGGAGACGATATGCCGTACGAAGAGGAGGAGGCGACCGTGTCATCGCCGTGTGGACACGCAACGCTGCTCGTTGGGAATGCAAACGGCGAGTACTCGTGGCCATACTGCGAAGTGGGGCTGCTTCCACGCACGTCCTCCACTGCAGGCGCACTGCAGCTCGTACCCCTTTCGAGACTGCGCCTTGGCTTCGCCGCCTCAAACGAGCTATGCAAAGAAGAGTGCGAAACACTACTCCTCGCTTTTACGGTAGGGACATGTGTATGCAGTGTGTCGCCCCCAGTATCCGCCATATCGCGCTTTCTGAACATTCCAAACTGCAAGACTATACCGTAATTAATGTAGTTTGCTCTTCTATGTAGTCTGCCCTAGCAAAAAAAAAAGTTAAGTTGAAAGTAGAGAAACCACATTCAGTCGAAGTACCGGTGGTTTTATACTATAAGCCTTCTAGTGAGGTCGTACGATTTCGAGGTTGGTTCGATGCTGCATTCGCACAGCCATATAGCTTTTGTTTCATGTCGAGCTGAAAGGTATCACTCACTGCAAAGTAGCATTGAAAATTTCCCAGAAAAGACGCAAGTCAGGAACATCACAAACGAAGCACATCATGGCTTCCGAACAGAATAAAGACCTATATAGCGCTTGTTCTGCACAAAAACTGAGTTTCTTCTATGCGGTGACACTGTAGAAGTTGATCAAAAGTTCAAGTAGGAGAGCGACACTCTTAATGTAAAGTGATATCAAGGAGAATATAAAGATCAAAGTATTTGTTTTTTACACTAAAAAAAGTCACTGTATCCTATTCAAGAGCAGCTAGTTCATCTTGGCTCCAATAAAAAAGTTGTTACCGTCCAATTAAAAAAATTAAAGCCAGTTCCACGCCAGCGGGGTTTGCTGGCGAACAAGCGCCACAAGCGCCACCATCTGGCGAAAGAAGACTGAGTTGTTTCTTTGTTGGCATGTTTTTCTATCCTTTCTGCTGACTTTACAACACTCTATCTTATTTTATGATATTTTATTATTTTTTTATTTCAGGCAACGACAACAAACAAACATACATTTGTCTTGTCTAGGAGGGTGACTAAAGGCGCGAAGCTTGATTGAGTGTCACAACGGAGGCTGTTGCAGGAGCATTGATTAATACATACACACGATTATATATACGATACATATTTGGTAATACTTATACAAGATTGATACAGTTATACAATTATACAAGCGCAGTAGAGACATATAAGAGCACAAGAGAAATCTAAGTACGGATTGCAACAACAAAAACACAAATAAAACAAAGAATTATTTTTGTAGTGATAAAAGGTATAAAGGTAACTTTGTTTTAAAGCGTTTCATGTGGATCAATTTTTGCACCATATTTAAAATGGTAGGATGATGATTTAAGACGTATGCTATTACGTAAGTTTGTTTCTAGTTGGTCCGTGTAAAAACTTTGTCATACATGGTTGTTCTAGTTTCGTAACTGTGTCGCTGCGACGGAAATTGTCGATTAAAGTTATCCTGGCATAACTTTATTTTCTGAAATATTGCAATGCATACCTTCTTTTTTTTTACTACGTGTTGCATTGTCAACATATTTGCCTTGAAAAGTGTCGCGGAGGGAGGTATATGAAGTACACCTTTAATAACTTGCAAAACACGTTTAGTGGGATATGAAGTTTAGTAATAATTGTTTTTGTTATTATTCCCCATACAAGGAGGCAGTATTATAAATGGGAATGAATTAGTGCGTAATACCGCTGAATTTTCAACCACCGCGCGAAAGTTCTTTTACTCTACTTATAATAAATATTGAACGTGAGATGCGTCCTGTAACATTATCAACATGAGATTTTCTTCAAAAATTCTATGTGAAAAAGGTGCACAATGTTGCGCGGCGAAGTGCCACCTGGCATCAACAAAACTTCCTGTCGCGTCATGTGCTCTGCTTGTGTGCCCGCACTCGTTGCATGCGTTGCGGAAGTGCGTTTGAATACGTCTTCCGCCCTTCATACTTGAGGCGTTTACCAATTTATCTGGCCACGGCGCAGTTTTGTCGGGATTTACGTTGAAAAACAGACACTTTGCTCCGTGCTTATATCTGTGAGGGTGCAAAAACAAATTTCATTGCTAATCACCTGCCTTGTTTTATCATTGACTTTAATGTTAATATATTTTTTTTATTCTATTGTATTCAATAGTGTAGCTACTTGGGCTGGTTGGTATTGCATTCCTTCTTTTTGTGTGCGCCAAGCCTTTGAGGAAAACTTGAGATAGGACAGAGCCCACACTCACAACCAGTTTATTGCTCAGACGGGGGGAATATATATATATACGCACACACAGGCTGGTTTGTCATATCTCAATTTGCGCACAAAAGGTATATATATATATATATATATATATATATATATATATATATATATATATATATATATATATATTTCAATGGGCCAGTTATTCGTGAATGCATGGGATATAGCACAACGAGAGCGTTGTCCACAAGGACAAATATATTTCCCAACTGTTTCGGGAGGGGTCGTCCCTTCGTCAGGGGATGAGTTAGACTAACATAGGCGTTCAAACTTCGTTGCTGCCGCGTCCCTCTAGCCTTGAAAGATGTTACATCTTTCAAGGCGTAACATCTTTGAAGGTGACGCAGCAACAATGAATCCTGTTCATGGCAAGTTATCTTTTCACCCACTTTTCTTCATGTATATATATATATATGCGTGTGTGGGGGGGGGGGGGGGCGGTAATGTAGGTATTGAGACACGTCGTATCGGGCAACTCCGGATGGATCAATTTTGACAACTCGGGGCTCATTTGAGTTCACTGGTGTTTTTACACTATACCTCCATTCTAATGTGGCCGCCGTGGCCGGCAATCGAACCCGCTTTCTCGAGCTTGAGATAGCACGTTATCCCGCTAAGCTTATGACCACGTTGAATATTTATTGCTGAATTGTATGCAAGATAAATGTTGGAAACAGTGAACAAAGCAGGTCTTACGACAGCCTGACGAGGTCTTCTTCGACATGGGCCCAAAGAGTCCGATTGAATGCACGAAAAAGCAATCCAAGCATTCGCTAGAGCGCAAGGCAGGAGCGAGGCGCGTACCCCTGCATAGGTGGAGTGCGGTTCGTGTGGGAGTCGGTCGCGTCAGACGACGTCGCCAAACGGGGTGTATCGGCGTGCGCTCGGCAGGAGCGCCTTTCAAGGCGTTCCCCGACGAGCGCATATTTAGGGGGCGCTCACGAGCCCCTGCGCGTATAGGAATGAATTCAGTGCAGTGACAGCAAAGCTGCGCGTTCTCATACGCGGGAGAGCATCAACCGAAGTTTGATTTTAATGACAGCTGAAAACCGAAGGCGAGTGTGGTCCGGTCAAACCTGAAAATTGCCTTAAAGGAACGCGTCAGAAGAACGCCCCCGTATACTCTTGATAACTCGTCGGGTTTAACGTCCTAATACCGCGCTATCGTTATGAGGGACGTCGTAGTGGAAGGCTCTCCAAATTTCGACCGCATGGGGTTCTTTAATGTGCACACGGGCCTCGGGCATTTCTCTTCCACCTAAAATGCGGCTGCCGTGGCCGGGATTCGATTCCGCGACCTTTCGGTCAGCAGCCGAGCACCACAGACCACCGTTGAGAATGACCCGTTACTCCGAATGCTACGCCGCAGCAAGGAGAGCCAAGCGACTGACACCAGAAATAATAGAAGCAGAGAATATCGCTATATTGGGGGACACGCACGTAAGTGCACCATCGGATGATTTAACGAAATAAATAAATAAACTATCCTAACTACAAGCCGCTCTTAATCGTATAGCTTTTAGCCGGCTTTTATTTTGCGCTGTTAATCGTATCTGATGTCACATGTAACAAATGCGGTTGTGCAACTGCTTAGCGTCAAACCCATGTATATCAGTATGACGCTTTGAAAACAAATCTGCTGGAAATGAGCGCCTGTCTTCGGCAGTTCTCACTCAGTCCTTGTCTTGTGCGTGTCTTACAGATGCTGAAATGCAATATCAACGTTCCAAACCTCACTTGATTTCATAAGTACATCCTGTTAAGCTTGTTGGTCTAACAAATTTACAAATCGCAACAAATTAATGTTTGCGCGACGAGCGCTAGTCCTCGCCCTCTTCTTTTCTCTGAAGTTGTTCGAGAGGAAAAAAAAAAAGTCTTATTCAACAACGATGACACGAAAGCCAGCTTCCGACAGAAACGTATCTTATTTTGTAGCCCTAATTTCATTAGGCTGGAATTGGCAAATGTTGTGGTTCATTGATACACCATACATGTTTCTTTCTCGGAAGCTCACTCGGAATCAGTCACTTGTAAAAAGTTGATTTATTTGGTAAATATAACTTTTATGCAAGCATTGCGCAATTTAGCCATTTTCTTTCTCGGGTACCTTTAGTTAGAGAATGAGGTCAGCTTATTGGGTAGTGTTGGTGTATTTGTTTTTGTTCCCCATCTCACAGACGGCCTAACCACGTTTTCTATCATATGCAGTCCCCGTAGCCCCATGCCCCACAGAACACCGGCGATTAACGCGTGCATGGTTACGCTTCAAAACCTGTCGGCCCCGTTCCTACGCTCCGGCGATGTCGTCGGACTTACCAGGGCCTGTTTGAATACGGAGAGCCAGTGTTGAAACGATATTAAAATTGTCTGTCGCAAGTTGCACTATAGCTGTTCGATGTAGACCAACGACAGCTCGCGTGTGGATAAGGTTGCGTAACCAACTGTTGTGGCTCACTTGAAAGATGTGGGCTGCACCGCAAAGTCTTCTAGTCTGTGGATTAACGCACGCTTACACGGGGACGGCGTAAGCAGGATGATACAGCCACTACCTGCAGAGACGCCACAAGCGCTGTCGTCCAGCTTACTCCGTCCCGGTTAATTTTCCAATTCCGTTCCGCATACCAACAAGGCTGCTTTTCTCGCACAGTAGTCATGCATGCCCGGAAGTTACTGCAAGGTGCAGCAACACACGCCGATCACACGTACCATGCCCTTGCATAAGACTCGTACAAAAATTTGAACTTTGTAAAACTAGCTTTAAGTTGCTGGTAATTTCGCTACAATCACTCAATCATTCATACTAACGTCACACACACACACACACACACACACACACACACATATGTATATATATATATATATATATATATATATATATATATATATATATATATATATATATATATATATATACATATATATATATATATATATATATATATATATATAAGCCCACAATTTTTGACAGTCGTAAGAAATGCGTGAATACATACGTTCCAAATAAAAGCTTACATGTTTTTTTCGCATTCACATTGTACCTGAACAATCGCAGTATGCACCGAAGGAAACCAGCCGTATGGGTTTATTAGTTAGCAATGATTTTTACCCGAACGCATTATTCAGCAAGATTTTGGGCACGGATGTCACTGAACTGGTGCTATTTAGATTCGAAGCTTGATTGATTGATTGATTTGTGGGTTTAACGTCCCAAAACCACCATATGATTATGAGAGACGCCGTAGTGGAGGGCTCCGGAAATTTTGACCACCTAGGGTTCTTTAACGTGCATCCAAATCTGAGCACACGGGCCTCGACATTTCCGCCTCCATCGGAAATGCAGCCGCCGCAGCCGGGATTTGAACCCGCGACCTGCGGGTCAGCAGCCGAGTACCTTTAGCCACTAGACCACCGCGGCGGGGCAGAGATTCGAAGCTGAGTCACAATTTGGATGGGTATAATTTATAAGGAATGTTTGAAATACTTAACACAATCTAAGCAGTTAGCCAACTTTTATAACAAATAGCCAACTATAACAGTCTCCTTAAAGTCTCGCGTGTTCAAACTATAAACACTCCTCTCATTTCCGAGTGCACCTAACTCACTTTTTTTTCACATTAAGTATTATAAAAGTTTCAAACCTGCTCAAAACGCATTGGTACATGTCCGCACAAGCCCACCGTACTCGCATGGTTAAGCAGTTTCTATCAACATTTACACTGTCGAATAAGAGTATCCACAAAAACTGCGTACAAATCATATACCATTTGTTGTAATCACAAATTTCTACCAGGCTATTTAGGTCGCTTACTTTCACATTGCGCGAGGTTTCGATAGACGCATCACGCATGTATTGAATTGGAGGCGAATGGTAACGCGAATGAGCGAATATTCCCATAAGCCTATCAATAATTAAAGCGCAGAACGACACGCCAACAAGATCGAGGCACAGAATTTCGATCGTGCGAGCGTCGTTCCGGCTTTTCCGGAACGTCGCTGACAACCGCGCGTTCTCGCGTGGATGAAAAGAAAATCCGCGCGTTGTCGCGGTTTTACTGATTAAATTTTCATACGCTTTTGTTCCTCCTTCCTTCTTGGTTAATTATAGTCGTTTCACATTTTATATGCTGTATTTATGTCGTCAAGCATGGTCACGATATACGCGGAGAGAAGATGCATGGACACAACAATCCAAGAGTGGACAAATGCGCGACGCAGCTGTGATTGCAGCGCATCCACGCGTGCCGCAATGGGCGTTGCCGGAGAGAAACTTACGCGGCGGTTGCGTGATGAGACAGCCCCCGAGTAACAGGCGTCCGCAGCCAAGTTGTCAAGCACGATGTGATGTTCACTGGCAGTCGACTGCTCCAAAGTCAAGTCATGCTGCCAACCAGAGCACGTACTACGCTTCTCGTTGCGGGCCAGGCCCGGGCTTCCGTGGGCCACTGCGGACACCGTGCTGGCCGATTGTGTCGAAAGCGCCGCCGCCACCACCGCTACGAAGAACTGGGACACCCACTGCTGGCAACCATGACGGGAAACCGGTTCCCAAGAAAGGCCCCAGCGCCTGGAGTCGGCGGGTGCCGGTAGTGGTAGCAACGGCCCGGCCTACGAGATGTGCCGGTGGGGTCGTCTCCTCCTGCAGCGAAAACGCGCCGATACACGAATCGTTGCGCAAGCACGATGAGATTCTTGGGCAATTGATGAGCGGATAAGATACCCGTTCTTTTTTTTTTTCACCCGTCCCGAGGAAATAGGGAAAGTCAGTTGGATGAGACGTGTGAGAGCGCTGCGTGGATGCGTCCTACGTGCACGCTGGTTTTTTGCTGTGGCAGATGCCGAGCACTCGTGCCGTATGTCTCAAACACTGAATTCGCAAGTGATGTCAAGCATAATTTTGAGGGCAATAAATTCTAGATGGGCGTGTGGTCACCGCTCCGCGCGCGGTGTCCATGCGTGGGGATGCTCGAGGCGCACTATAGGTCCGGTATGTCCGAGGAACGTTGTTGAGAACACCCTATAGATAATGGAACACATTTTGATTGAAAATGCGGGGTACCTGCAACCATCAGCCATCGCCCATGGCACGAGGCTGGCGTGGAGGGGAGCACAAAGAGTGCAATGGATCACGACAGTCCGAGATTTTTAGGCGCAGTTTTGTATTGACTGACTTGTGTTGCTGGTGGTGTTCCAAAAAACCCTCCTCACCTAGCGCTGGCGCATGCGCACCAAAGATATATATATATATATATATATATATATATATATATATATATATATATATATATATATATATATATATATATATATATATATATGGGAAAGAGCGTGCCGCCGCGGTGGTCTAGTGGCTAAGGTACTCGGCTGTTGACCCGCAGGTCGCGGGTTCGAATCCTGGCTGCGGCGGCTGCATTTCCGATGGAGGCGGAAATGTTGTAGGCCCGTGTGCTCAGATTTGGGTGCACGTTAAAGAACCCCAGGTGGTCAAAATCTCCGGAGCCCTCCACTACGGCGTCCCTCATAATCAAATGGTGGTTTTGGGACGTTAAACCCCACATATCAAGGGAAAAAGGTGTATACTGTTATGCCAGCGAGTCCTCGTCAAACGACCGTGCCTCTGAAAAAGGCAATCTGGGTCAAGGCCAGCCCGCAGTCGGCCTGGCGCGATCACCTCGACGGCGTGAACACGCGCGGCGCCCCTCTGGCCCACGTGCAGTGAGTCAGCTGCGCGCGTGACAGCGAGCCGGCGTCCGCGTGTCTGGTGGTCTGACGCATGGCGCGGCGACCCCCATTGGCGGAATCTGCCCTGACGACCAGCGGCGCTTCTGATTGGACATTTTGGTTGGACCCGGTGTAAATAAAAGAAGCCCTGCGGCGCGTCGCGATCGGAGGTCCTAGGAGAGGAGTCCCCGTGTCGGAGGGCCGACATGTGTGTGAGTCAGCGATCTTAGGCGAAAGGCTGACCTATGTGTTAGAGAGGAGAGCTCGGCTCTTCGAGTCTCTGTCGGCCCCAGTGCCGAAATTGTAACGCCTCTGTATATATGCTGTACATAAACCTTGTTTAACTCACCGTCGTCTCGTCCGCTCGTCTTATCAGCTCGGCGCAGAAGCAGTCGCGAGCTGAGATACATACGCTACCAAACGGCTGGTGACCTTCCCGGCGGAGTTGAAAGCAGTGGCGCCTTCGAGGCCGTGTTGGCGTCCCCGTCTTTCGCAACAGTGGTGGCTTCGGCGGGATCGGTCCGTCGTTCGCAACAGTTGGAGGTCAGCGGTGGGATTTCGGAGGTGCCTTCGCAACAGTGGTTGGCAGCTGCGGGATCGACCGGCGTCAGCGACATCGATGCGGTGAGTGCCTGATGTTTTCCCCTCAGTTCACCAGACTACTCTAGCTCAGGTTGTAGTAATTTAGAGAAGGGCTGTGTGAAGCATTAGAGTGAGCTTTGATCGTTTCAAGCAAAGTCGAAGTGCTTTGAAACCAAAGTTAATGCGGAGGGGGTAAACACGGGAGAGTGAAAAATTGCTTGCGCGCCTTGCTAGTTGACTTATAGTGGGTACGGCAAGTAAATTGTTAACAGGGGCAAACAGCAAGAGGCTAGTATGAACGATGGAGAACCTTAAAGTGAAGGAACTCATCGAAATTTGTGAGGAACTCGGCATTACTTTGGGCCGCGCGAAACGAAAGCAAGCGATCCTTGAGATCATGAAGGATGAGGGAGTGTCGGCTGAGGAAGTCGATGAGGCCTGGGTGGATATTAAAGCACGCCGTGAGGAGGCTGAAAGGCGAGAAGTAGAACGTCGCGAGCGCGAGGAGGCCGAGAGACAGGAGCGCCTTGAGATGAAACGACTAGAATTGGCAATCCTACAGTGTTCGCAGGCGCCTAGCGTAGCTTCCCCGATGATTCAGGTCAGCGGTTTTAGAATTCGGGACCAACTGCCACCGTTCGTAGTAGGCGAGGACATGGCGAAGTATCTCGTCAAGTTTGAACACGTCTGTGAGCGAAACGCTTTGGAGCGGCCTCTTTGGGCGCGGAACCTGCTAGCTCTTCTTCCCGGCGAAGTGTCCGACGCGATAACTTGCTTGTCGAGGGAAGCGTTTGAGAGCTATGACGAGGTTAAGGAAGTGCTCTTGAGACGTTATAAGTTGTCACCCGAGGCTTTCAGGCAAAGGTTCCGGTATGCTGAAAAGGGGAATGAGTCACACGTTGACTTCGCGTTTCGTCTTAAAGCCGATTTAATTGAATGGCTCAAGGGCGAAGGTGTTTATGACGACCGCGATAAAGTGGTGGAATGCGTTGCATTGGAGCAATTCTACCGCTGCATCGAGGATAATGTCAGACTTTGGCTGCAGGACAGACTTGGGGAAGTACAGTTAAATAAGGCAGCTGAGTTAGCTGAGGAGTATTATACTCGCCGAAAGTTGCATAGCAGGGCAGTGCGCGTTGAAAAGGATGAGAGAAAAGAGAGCTTTTCAAGGAAACCTGATCAACGGAAACCCGTTCCGCACCGTAATTTCAAAAAGGGCCCGTCTCTTACGAAGGACAGTGTAGGGGAAGGGCAAACAGAAGCGGAGAAATCGAGTGAGGTTTCTACCACACAGGAATTTGAATCGGAAAACAAACGGAAGCCGCTAATCTGCTACAACTGCAAAAAGGAAGGGCACATCGCGAGAAACTGTCAGGAAAAGTTTGCCTTCGCAACAATCCGAGAATCAGAAAAAAACATGCGGTTGTTGGAGCCGTATCTCCAAGAAATTAGGGTGAATGAAAAAATGTGCCGAGCACTTAGAGACTCAGCGGCAACTATGGACGTTGTCCATCCTTCATTGGTGTCTCCGGATGACTTCACAGGAGAATGCGCGTGGATTAGGCAAGTCGCCGAGGTGCAGAGTGTTCGCTTACCAATCGCCACGGTTGTCATTGAAGGCCCGTTCGGTAAGCTTCGCACCGAAGCGGCTGTGTCTGCCGCGCTTCCCGATCGTTTTCCATATCTCTTCTCCAACAACTCAGAGCAGCTTCTCAAAGAGCAGGGTAAATCGTTCTTCCCCAACTTAGCGTACATGGCCCTCACGCGATCGCAAGCGCGGAAGCTCTCGCAAGAGCTTGACCTTGTTCAATGCGGTGAACTCTCAAGTGACCTTGTCGGCGGGTCGACGGAACCCCGGAAGGGAAATTTTCCGCATGAGTCATGTGAGCAGTCACGCGAGCGGCCCGTCGCCGAACCTAGTTGCGCGGTTTCCGGAGAAAGGGGAGACGACATGGCGCCATTGAGTCAGAGCGAGAGGGTTGCAACGCTCTCGCCTGTAGCGGAAAGTTGGAGCGAGCTGCCGAGAGTTGATCGAGAGACGCTCATTCGAGAGCAACGTGAGGATTTCTCGATTGAAGCGCTAGTGGAAAGCCAAATTGAAGCGCAAGGGGAAAGCCAGAAAAACGCGGCACAAGTGCTGTCGAAGGAGCACTACGAGAAATCGGTGAAGAAGCGCGCTTTTGAAGTTGATAATCAGGTAATGCTGCTGCAGCCGTCAAAAGGAACAAGCTTGATGTGATTGGGAAGGGCCCGCCAAAGTATTATCGAAGCCTTGCGATACAACTTATGAGGTGCAAGTAGGAAGGCGGCAGAACAAAATTTACAACTTGATGAAACCCAATGTTCAACATCAAGCGGTCGTAAATCAGCTGTTGAAGGCTTCAGAGGAAGAGGAAGCAGAAAATTTGAGTTCTAGTGAGGTGATCGAAGGGGGATCGAAAGTAATCCGGGAGCAGATAAACCTAGAGCCTAGCTTAAGTGAAGGAGGACCTGAGAAAGAGGACCTGAGAAAGAGGACCTGAGAAAGATTGTTTCCGAGTTTGGGTATGTGTTGTCGGACCGTCCCGGAGACACGACGGTGATCGAACACGATATCGAGCTAAGCGGTGAGGAGTCAATCAGTAGCAAGCCGTATCGTTGTTCCCCTGTGCAACGTCGAAAGTGTGAGCCGCTCTTGGTGCCGCATAGGTATCGTCGCCTAAAAGTGGCCGGTTACTGAAGTGGAGCATGTTGCTCCACAGCGCAACTTTGACGTTCGCTATCAAAAAAAAAATAAAGGAAAGGTAAACGCTAATGCAGGTGCATTGAGCAGTGCGTTCCAGCTAGTAACTTCTCAACCTTTCGGTTTCTGGCTGGCGATTCGGGGCAAAATTTTGACCTCATCACGACCTGGGCTGAGCGCTCTCGTTCAGAGTGATCTCAAGGGGCCAACTTTGTGGTATTCTAATTCGTTACGTTGTTGTACGTGGAAAAAAAAATTGGAGTTGTCACTTTAAGAGTCTTTTGTCCCACATGTGCCTCTTGATGTAGAGGGAACAAAATTCCGATAAACACGTAGATAGGTATATGTTGTATTATACTTTGTCTGGTGTTCTGTCGGGTGACCGAAGGCACTTGCGTGTGTCGTGTGTTGTCTGTTGTCGAACCGTTCTTAGCAAGTTGCAGAACCATCGACAAGTGCTGAAACCGAAGATGGTCAGAAGAGACGAGCGAAGTTGA